CAACACACACTTACGGTGGCATGCCAGGGTTTGTGCTAAGGACACAGGACCCACACATGGTCACTGAACGCATAACCATGCAGACATGCAAACAAGTGCTTCCAGGTTCAATAGGTCATGTAAGGGACCCGATATGGAATGGGTGCCGGGGGCAGGGGAGGGAGGGTGCTGCTATTGGGGACAGATCAGGGGGAACACGGGCAGGGGAGGCAGGCCAGAGTCCAAGCAGCCAGCACCAGGGAGGGCACAGTCAAGGGGGACTCTGGCAGGCAGGTGACAAGAGGTCTCTGGGGAGATCTGGACCCCTAGATGATTTTGCCCCTGGCCAGGCCAACGAAAGGTCAGACTCTCTGACCCATCCCCTACCCCACCTCCTGCCTCCTTCTTCTCTTTTCAGCATGACTGCAGCACGCGGACTTTTTGGGAAACGCATCTTTCATCAAGAGTGGTCAGAGCAGCTGCCACCCAGCAGGGGAAGCTCCCGGAAACCGGGTGAGGACAGAGCGAGGCCACAGCCCATTTGCTCCAGCAGCACTTTATTTACAAACAGCAACTTCCATTGACTTTTGTTGATACCATAAAAAGGCCATTTACAAGCAAGAAATGAGAATCCAGAACAAAATGAAGCAGCACTGAAATAGTCATGTCACAAATCTAAAACAAAAATACAAGAGTAAAATATCATTTGAATAAATAGATTCAAATCCATGCTATAAAATAACCCTTAATGGCAAGTTACTAGTTGATACAGCATCCGCTTAGCTAGCTTCATTTACTTCACATGGCAATGAAGTGTGGAGTTGTGAGGTTACCGGTTTATATTGCAATAATGACACTGTGTGGAAGTCATTCAAATTGCTCAACCATTTATAACGGAAAGCAACGTTAGCCCTACTCGTACAAGTGAAAGACGGTCTTCACATTAGGAGGAAATGGTCATCCTCAAACAAACCAGCTGAGTTTACCTCTCACTGTGGTCGGGGTGCAACCAGAGGCCTGGGCGGCAAGGCCCGAGGTTGACTTCACAGCATACTTGTTACTGAGGGGCAGCAAGAGGTCTGGCTGGGGACCGGATCTGCTCCGAGGAGCGCTGGCCAAGGCCGACTCTGGCACTTGACCGAAAACTCCAGCAGCCCTGCCAGTGCCAGAGCCAGCGAGGGAACCCAGGCTGCCAGGTCCTCCTCTGGGCCAAGTAGAAACACGGGAGGAAAGGGAGCGGGCAGACACGCTCTGGCACTTACTGAAAGATATACAGGACACGTGAGAACCATTACAAATTCTGAACAATGTGAATGACTTTCCTGAACTTTCTAGTTCAGTTGCACTGAGTAATATGAAATCTAGGATTTATGTACTAGATAGTTTCATATAAAGAATTTACATAATTCCCCAATACTTTCATATATAAAATTTAATAAATAACCCTGACCAGTCTAGAAGCACCATTCAAGGGGCATGCGCCCTTGGAAAATAGTTTAGGTGTTGCATATTTGAGTCCCTTTCAGTGGCGGCTTCACAGGAAACCATTAGAAAATTCAACAATGACGACGACAATGACAAGAATCACAGTTAACTAACAGTTGTTCAAATAAAATACGTCGATCTGTTGAAAGTAAAGCTTATTCACATATATGACTTTTCCCCTAGCCTGTTCTGTGTTCCTGCAACTTCTTCCTATGGCCTAGGCCATCAAAAACAAAAAAATGAAAACTAAACCACACACACACATATATAGTATGCAGGCCTACGGTCCAGACTAGGGGAAGAACAGAGAATTGGTTAGAACTGCTATTAGAGAAGAAGTGTACTTGCGCTCTGGAAGGTTTACAAATATTAATTCAGTTCTACAGTATATTCTGCTTAACAGTGAACTGACAATATCCTTTCTGCTGTTTAAAAAAAAGCAACAAACTTTAAAAAAAAAGGGGGGGGGGAACCAGAACTGCCAAACCAGAGCCAATTGGTTGGGAGGCTTTCCACAACCAAAAAGCTTGTCTGCCCATATTGTATTTACAAACATAACTTCTAAGTGTATTTACAGTCTGAGTAGAAATCCGAGGGCTGAGAACTGATGAGAAGGAAAATAACTGTTTAAAACCACATTAGGAAAAGTAGAAAAATCCTTGTGTTTTCACAGTTTGTAGTAACGGGCTGAAACGCGGACAGAAAAGGACGCTGCCACGGTCTTCACATTGTCGAAACGGGGAAAGGTAGCTCGGGCAGAGACTCAATTATGAACAAGCCTGGAGGAACTCGGGAGAGGTTTCTTCACAGATCATTTGACCTTAGCTGATTTCTGCACCTGCTATAAAGGAAACACCTAGCCTAAAACTGTACACAAAGGAGGGACTTTGTTTTCCACAAAGAGCTGCTCTGAGGAGTGACATGGCGGCCTTTGTCTGCAGAGATGGGACGTGAGCTTCAGGGAGGGAGGGCACGCCTCGGCCCTGTGGTCATGGCTGTCCCATCCTCCCGCACGGGCTCGCGCCGCCTCCCTGGAAGCCTGCGGAACTTTACAGTACTGGGTTATGGCTTGAAGATTCATTCTTAACACTGCTAGCAGTGGGGGAGAGGTGTTAGCAACGTGAATGGGAGTGAACGGGACTTGCCAAACCTGCAATCATGATTCTTTAGGAACGCCAGCAATTTTCTGCCCCTAACAGTCCCATTACAATGTCTGAACCTGAACTGTACAATCAAAGCAATGTATATTTTTTGTCAAAGACAATTTTGGATAAGTCACTCTTTGGTAAACTCAAACCAGTTAAACAAATCTCACAAGTACGAAGAACTTCAGAGAACTAAGGTAAGACTGACACAATGACAAGAGCCGGGACGTTGGAGGTGCTTGCCCCAAGTGTTCACCCCTCCCACCTTGTCTCCTAGCTTGTCGCGGAATGCTCTGGAGACTTCTCAGAAGGCCCCAAGCCTGAGTTGAGCGAAAAGGAGGTTCCTTCCCTGAGCTTCACCTCTCGTGTCCTCAGATTTGGGTGTTTCTCATCAAAAACGTAATTGGTATCACAACACAAATTTTTTGCATTAATTCTTAAGAAGAAAAAAAACTTACTCTTATAAGGAAAAAAAAAACCACAAACATTTACCTGAAACCCCAGAACACATTGAAGTGGGTAAACACTTGGGGTCCCGCCTCCCCGTGAGGCACGAGGCTTTATCAGAGTTGAACAAGTGCTTCAGGGAGAGAACGGCCCCGACTTAGGCAGTTAGACAAGGAAAAAGGCATACGATATACCCGATTCAGCCAAGGCTGCCCCTCCGCGGGGCGGCGCCCGAGAGTCATGGGTAGAGATAACACTGATGGGAAGTGTGGCGGTTCACACTGGAACATGGCCTGTGTGCTAAAGAGGTGCCGCTGCACAGCTACTGCCCCCGGGCCTGGCACACAAAGGAAATGACTTTTTAATTTTTCTTATTTAAAAAAAACAAACTTAGAATCATATCATTGTTGATATCTTAAGAACTAAAAACAAAACAAAACAAAATAAAAACAAAAAAAGCATGAAAATCCAGCAAGCACGTGGTTTTGTGTTCCTGGATTCCTGGCCCCTGAGACTGCTCCTGGTTCTGTTCGTTCTCCAGGTGCCTCACGGGACTCCAGGTCCGGGGTCCTCCAGGGGAGACCCGAGCGCTGACATTCCCCAGGGTAGGCGGGGACACTGCACACAGCACCTGCAACACGCCAGGTCTGTCTGCTCCCAGACCTGCAGCCAGCAGGCAGCACTGAAGGCACGTTCTCGATGCCACGACCAGACCACAGGGCAGCAGCCAGTTTTTATACAGGAACGTGGGCCAGCACATGCTTTTTGAGGTCTCTGTTCCAACTATAAATTCAAGAGGAAAATAACTCATGATCACCATTAGATTTCACATTGTCTACAACTATACTGACCTAGAAGATACTTAACATAAAAATAGCACCACGTGACCCCCAAAACAAAACGGTGACACACAGAGATTTGGTGACACACTGAGTATCTTAAGAGGGCTTTTTTCACTGTTGGTTTCTTGAAGCAGGAAACACTGAGAGCGTGGCGGGGCCACCGAGGCCCTCATTAGCACACCCAATGCTGGGATAGATATATTGCTTGCGATTCCCATAGAAGTATAGATAGCGCTTGCTTTATAAAAAGTACAAATTCCGAGTTCTGCAGTTTCCTTGGGAACTGCATGTAGAAAAAGTTGCTGTGCACCTGAACTGGTTGTTTGAGAAGAGAAAGGGAGGGGAAGGAAAAAACAAAACAAAAGAAAGAAAGGAAGAACAAAAAACAAAAATACCACAACACTGCAGGGAGAACTCCATAGGCGGAACTACGGATCCCTTCTCTTTAGTGTGAGTCCTAAACTCGTGGTAGGGCAAAAGTCGGCTTAGTTACCTGGTCTGCGTGTTTCTACAGTACGGAATGAAGGTAGATCGGTAAGCCAGTAAAAACTTGGACAGCCACTGCTGCTTTGGGGTTGGCTAATACAATACACTGGGTATAAAGGTCAGCACCGCAGGCCACCCGGCCACTGAGCCAGGTGACCCAACAAAAATCCCAAATGGTTTTTAACTAGCGTGGAAGAAATCGTATGGCATTTGGCTTATGTGTCTGTTACGAAGCAGAGCTAGGGACACGGTGAGTTGCTTTGCTTGCTCTCGGACACGGTGGAGGATGACATATGAAAACCTAACGACATTCTTTCGCAGGGGGAAATGACAGGGCCAAACCCTAACATTTTAGGTAGGGACGAGACAGAGTTAAAGCTCTGTTCACATTGTATTAAATTATATATTTCCTCTTACATTCACCTCAACCAGAATAAACCCAAATTTTGAGCATGTATATATACTATATATAATAATCACTTTATTATATATATATATAAATTGTCTAACTACCCCCAAAAGTAATTTTAAATTAGAAAAGATTACCCATTTGTATCAGCTGACGGCATCCTAGTCTCTCTCCGTGGAAACGCCTGGTGCCAGCACACGGAGAGAGTGTCTGCCTCTTGGCAGGGGATGGAGGCTCAACCGGTTGGCAGAGCTCAATCACGAGCAGACTGGGGATTAAGAGTTCAGCCAAAGAGGAATACTGTCAGCCTGTGTTTTCCCTGGATACGTTGCCCTTCATGCTTTGAGCTCCTTGGGGGGCGGGGGGGGGTGGTTGGGGAAAGGATAAACACAACTAAGTATTCCATCCAGAAACTTCGGAAAAACTGCCAAGAGACCGAGAGATTTCCAGATGGCTGGGAAAAGCAAAGATGACAACAAAGCAAATCACAAATACGCATCGATGAGTGTGCTTTGTCTGGGGGCCCTCCTCGCGTTTCACTCGGGAGCCTCGGACACTGTGTGAATTGCCATCCGGGACTCGAGGGCCATCTCAGAGGCCGACGCATCGTTCTCGAGTTTCTGCTCCAGGTACACGTCTGTTCTCTCGGGGGACTCCAGGCGACTCCGGACTTCGGCGACGCCCGGGTGGTTCTTGCGCAGGTGCTGGTTGAGGGTACCTTGGAATGGAAAGCACTTCCCACAGATCTCACAGCGGAAGGGTTTGTCGTCAGTGTGGCCCCGGATGTGGTACTCCAGCTGGTCCTTCCGGGTATATTTCTTCCCGCAGAACTTGCACACAAAGGGGGTGATGCCCATGTGGAGGCGCATGTGCCTGTCGAGGCTTCCCTTCTGGTTGAAGGACTTCCCACAGTAAATGCAGATCAGCCTCTCGTTGTACGGGTACCAGTGACCCCTGGCACTCCTCTCCCGGGGACTGCTTTCATACCCAGGGTTGCTCAGCATGGCTTCGCTGTCAGAGCCCTGCACCACTCCCTGCAGGTCACTGTGCAGGTGGACGGACAAAGCGCGCTTCTGGCGTGGACGCCCTCCCCGGAAACAGCTCAGCATGGACCTGGATGGGCTGGAATTACTCAAACCCCCGAAAGCTTCAGGGACACTGGCTGGCTGGGAGGCCGCCTGGGAATGGGAGTAGGAATAGGCGTGCTGGAGCACAGAGCCGTAGGAGCCCACGTTCACGGCCACAACTTGTTCCCCATCAACCATCTCAGTGTGGTACCCGTCATCGCCCAGGGAGGAGCTGTCGGAACAGCTGGGCCGGTCAGACTTTTCCATCTTCACCTTTACCTCAGCGATCTGGGTCTCCCTCACCAGCAGGTCCCCTTGCTCGGGATCCCCCTCGATCTGAATCTCATACTCAGACACGCTCCCGCTGCTCCCGCGGTCCGAGTGGCCCTCCTCCTGCAGGCGGCTGCGCAAGGCTTTGCTGGGTGTCGTCTCCATCCGGAGTTCAGCGGCGGGCTGCCGGGCCTGGGGGCAGTAGGGCGGGGAGATCTCCACTGGGCTGGCAAAGAAGCTGGCGTCTTTCACTCCGTTCCTGCTCTCAGGATTCTCCTCAGCCCCAACCGTAACCGAGTCAACATCACCCACGCTGATCTTGGAATGGATGCTCTCTAGGATCTGCGTGCACTTGTCGATGACACACTGCATCTGGAGAAAGCTGGCGGCCGTCAGAAAGCTGACAACGTCCTTCAGCTGCAGGGACATTCTTCCAGTGTAACAGAAGGAAAGCAACTGCTCAAAGACGTTGGGGTTTTTAATGACGGATATCGACAAGCCACTCATGGTACTCAGTGCTGAATGGTCCCGAAAGTAGGGGGAGCTGGCGGCGAGCACCGCCTTGTGGGCACGGAAGGGCTGACCCTGGATGTGGACTATGATGTCACATAGTTTCCCCTGGAGGCGGAGCTCGTTGAGCTGGCTCAGGACGGTGCTGCTGTACTCAGGCACGTCAAACTGAATGAAACTGCTGCTGTCCATTTCTCCTGACGTGGGGCGCGATCTGTGGACAGAGAGAGGCTCCGTAACTCACTGGGGACACACACACGACACATGCAAACCTCGGACAGCAACAGCGACAACGCCATGCCAACGCGCCTCCCGAGGCCGGCCTAGGCGCTCCTCCTCCTGCTTATGCTTCACCCTTTCATGCTTCGTGTTAATTCACCTAAACCCAAGTAACATCACAACCAAGTCGGGAGCCTAGGGTCCTAACCGCCGGACACCACCCGTGATAAGGAAAACACGAGCTGCTAGCAGAGCTCTTGGGCTCTGAGTAAGCTGCAAATGCCTTTGGAGGAAAAACACTTCACCTCCTTTTGAGGATTTGAGAGCCCTCATAAAAAATAATTCAGTCCATCAAAGGCAGGACCTGATGTCTTTGGGTATTTCTTTTCTTTTTTAATTGAAAAGTCAGATATACAGACAGGAAGATCTTCCATTTGTTGATTCACTTCCCAAGTGGTCGCCAATGGCTGGAGCTGAGCCAAACCCAAGCCAGGAGCCAGGAGCCTCTTCAGGGTCTCCCACGTGGGTGCAGGGTCCCAAGCCTTTGGGCCATCCTTGACTGCTCTTCCATGCTACAGGCAAGAAGGGAACTGGATGGGAAGGGGGCTGCGGGGATTAGAACTGGCACCCAAATGGGATCCTGGCACGTGCAAGACGAGGACTTTAGCCACTAGGCTATCACACTGGGCCCTTATTTGGGCATTTCTAAAGGGTATTTTCAACTGCACGGCACATACCAGATATAGGACTGAAGCTACAAGCTGCATCCTTCTCCTTTTTGGGGAGGGGGGTGGGGGGAGATTATTTTACTTGAAGGAGTTACACAGGGAAAGACAGAAAGCGAAAACTCCCATCTGCTGGTTCACTCCTTAAGTGATCGAAATAGCTGGAGATGGACCAGTCCGAAGCTGGGGAGCCAAGAGCTTCGTCTGGGTCTGGGACCCGACTGAATGCTTCACCTTCCGCTGCTTTCCAAACTGTAGGCAGGGAGCTGGGTCAGAAGTGGAGCAGCCAGAACTCGAGATGCCCATATAGACGGAGTTGCCTCCTCTGCTACAACACCGGCTACAAGCACTGTCTTCTCCGGCACCACCCTACTTCCACTTCCCTCTTCAGATCCTGACACTCTGTGCTGGCAATTCTCAGAGCAACTCTCTGGTGAAGTATTCAGGTACTTCAGAAAGTTCACGGAACTTAGAATTCAAAGCTAATTTCGTTTTGGTGCCGATTTTTGAGGGTGCTTCCAAAATTTATGCAAAGTACACAATATGAGACAACTATGCATGGAATTCAAAGGTTCTGGTGCCAAATAAGTTTATGTTTTAATTCCATTTCTCAACGACAGGAGTGAGCAGAGCAGGGGGCTGGGAGTGCCTCCCCCAGGCTTGCGGTCAGAGCTCCCACAGGTCACAAGTCTGGCTTTCCCTGCAGACTCTGCAGTCACGCAGGTGGCCCCGGTGCCCTCCTCACTAAAGCACAGCCGAGGCACAGGTTGTATGTCAGCCAACAGAAACCTAGACAGCGCCTCTGTTTACCTTCACAGCCTGCAGACTCGCTGAGGGAGGACCTCCCTGGAGTGCAAAGGTAAACGCCTTTGCAGACACTTCCTTCATGGGCCTGGGATGACAGGCAAGATGGGCCGGCGCCACTGTTTTAGTTCTCCTCCTATCTGGACACTAACCCAGAGAAAACGGAAACAGAATCAAGCTATTCATAAAATGAAGAAATCTCACACGAAATCTGCAGCAAGTTGGCCAGCCTTCTGACACAGTGGGTAAAACCACTGATGGAGACGCTGGCGTCCCAGATGGGCACTCGTTCCAAGCCAGCTCCTCACTCTGTGTCTGGGGAAAGCAGAGGAAGTTGGGCCCCCACCAGCCACATGGGAGTCCCAGAAAAGTTCCTGGCTCTTGGCCTCCACCTAGCACAGCTCTGGCTGTTGCAGCCATCCTTGAAGTGCAAATTTCCCCCAAATTCTCAAGATATTTAAAATTTTCTACCCTGTGGGCCAGCATCTTGGCTCAGTGGGGCAATCTTCCACCCTGTGGAACCAGCATCCCGTATGTGCACAGGTTTGTGTCCCAGCTGCTCCATTTCTCATGCAGCTCCCTGCTTGTGGCCTGGGAAAGCAGTGGAGGACGGCCTAAAGCCTTGTGACCCTGCACCTGCATGGGAGACCTGGAGGAGGCCCAAGGCGGCTTCAGATCAGCTCAGATCTGGCCATTGCAATCACAGAGGAGTAGGCCAGCAAGATGGGTCTCTCTTCTGTTAATCTACCTTTCAAATAAAAATTAACAAATCTTTTTAAAAATTCACCAAATTGTTAGGAGTTTTGAAAAACAGTAAAGCTGCCTTAAAATATTTTCTAAATAATTATTTATTTTAATGGTGTGTGCTTTTTTTTTTTTTTTTAAGGTAGAAAGTTGAGAGATCTTCTAATCCTTTGTATGTTGATTCATTCCCCAGATGACCAACACAGCAGTGGCTGGGACAGGCCGAGGGCAAGACCCCGGCACTCCACCTGCGGGAATCCAAGTGTTTGAGCCATCCCCAGAGTGCATGTTAGCAAGCGACCAGGGACTTCATCCCCACGACGCTACCACAGGATGCAGGCAAGGTTTTTTGAAACATTAAACAGCAAATATTAAAAAAAAAAAAAAGTAAAATGGCTAGAAAAGGAATAATTTAAAACCCAAAGAAATAATAAGTACAGAACTATAATAATATAAAATACATTTAGAATTTTAAGAAAATGGGTAAGTAAATCTAAGACTCAACCAGAAAAAGATCAGTCGGTACGAGCAGTTCATGTCAAAAATTCTTTTTTTTTAGCACATCAAAAGTCCAATTTAAAGCAGTTTAGTCAGAGAGGAACTGAGTGCCCTCATCTACCCCAGATTTATGCTGAAATCCATCTGAAATGTGCACGCAATGAACATATTTTTAGGATAACACAAATTGGCAGAACTGAATAACAACAACAACAACAAAAAAAAACACAGAAGTGCCGAGCACAAATGCTCTTCAGGCCACTGACACGCAGAAACACCAAGAGTGAGGCCCTGTTCAGATGGCATGCAGCTGATGCCAGAGGACACACAGCCTGGGCCTGGGAACTGTCTGCTTCTAAGTGGAGCTGACCATTCTAAAGGAAAAGCCAACAAATACAACCGACTAAAAGAACTATACCTGCAGACCAGAAGCAGCTGCTTTGCGACCAGGATGGTACATGCAGGAAATACAAACGTGATCTGCAAGGCCAAAGAAGCCACAGGAGGAAACCTGGCCTCTCACACCAATAACAGACCACCGCATCCAAGAGGCCTGCGTGTCCCTCACATCGGTGCTGGACCACTGCATTCAGGAGGCCTGCATGTCCCTTCCAAGTAAGGGAAAAGACTCAAGGAGCTAGCAACACAGCGGTGTTTTTGTCATCTTTTTTAAAAAGATTTATTTATTTTTATTGGAAAGGCAGAAATACAGAGAGAAGGAAATATAGAAAGATCTTCCACCCACTGGTTCACACTCCAAGTAGCTGCAATGGCTAGAGCTGAGCCAATCTGAAACCGGAAGCCAGGAGCTTCTTTGGGGTCTCCCAAGTGGATGCAGGGTCGCAAGGTTTGGGTTGTCCTCAACTGTTTTTCCAGGCCTCAGGCAGGGAGCAGGATGGGAAGTGGAGCAGCAGGATAGAAACTGGCACCTGTATGGGATCCCAGCGCGTGCAGGGCAAGGACTTTAGCCACTAGGCTACCGAGCCAGGCCTAGGATGGTGTTTTCTTTTCTTTTTTTTTTTTTTTAAGATTTATTTATTTTTATTGGGAAGGCAGATATACAGAGAGAAGGAGAGACAGAGAGGAAGATCTTCCATCCGATGATTCACTCCCCAAGTGACCGATGATTCACTCTCCAAGTGAGCACAATGGCTGGTGCTGCACCGATCTGAAACTGGGAACCTCCTCTGGGTCTCCCACGTTGGTGCAGGGTCCCAAGGCTTTGGGCCGTCCTCGACTGCTTTCCCAGGACACAAGCAGGGAGCTGGATGGGAAGTGTAACTGCTGGGATTAGAACCAGCGCCTATATGGGATCCTGGCGCGTTCAAGGTGAGGAATTAGCCGTTTGGCCATGCCACTGGACCCAGGATGGTGTTTTCTTAATAACGAGTATCTACTGCAAAGCAAGGCAGCAGCACCTTTAAAAAGGAAACACTGGGTGCCAGGGTTGTGGTGCAGCACACAAGACCCCTGTCTGCCATGCCAGCATTCCATAGAAATGCTGGTTCAAGTCCTGGTTGTTACACTCTCAATCCAGCTGTCCGCTGGGGAAGCAACCTAGGATGCCCAAGGGCTCGATCCCCTGCCATCCACTTGGGAGATCCAATCGGCTCTTGGCTTTGCTTGGCCCACCTTGGGCCACAGCAACCATCTGAGAAATGAGGCAGCAAATGGAAGATCCTCATCTCGCATTCTCTCTCTCTCTCTCTCTGTGTATATATATATATATATGTATAAACACACATACACACATACATATAGACATAAAATTGCCTTTCAAATAAATATCTCTTTAATAAAAAATAAAAAGAAACTTTATGCCTGAATTATACAACAAGTATTTAGTATGTGCGCTAGCCCTAGCACCCTTCTGTCTCATGGACTAAGAACAACTACCAGCACACTATCCTATTTGAAGAGTCTGCAGTCTGCAAACTCACCGAACCAAGCAGCTCTTCTTTCAAGGTACACACGTTAATGCTTCCAAGAATCGTGTTCCCTGGAGAACTCTGGAGTGGACAGTCAGTCCCACCAGGGCCTGGGACACGAGGCAAGTTTGTCTGCCATCAGTGTTCCTTCTTCACACTGTTCTGGAGCTCACAGCCAAGACCAACAAGGGAAAAGCAAGGCACACGGCCATCATAAAGAGGAGATAAAATTACTATTACACAAAGATAGGACTGTTTACACAGAAAACACAAGAGACTCATTGGGAAACCCTATT